CCCAAGTTCTGTAGAGAACAGCCATAATCTGCACAAGGAATATGTCTTTATTCTTTCAACACAAGTCCACCTAAACTTCTCAAAATAGAGCATCAGCAGGAAGCCAGTGGGCGAGGGCTCTCTCCTACTCTCTCATTTTACAGATGAGAAAACTGAGGCCAGAGGGCAAAAGCAAATAATTCAGGCACCCCCACAAAGACCAAATCTTGGCAGCAAAACTGAGGATCATTGATCACTGGACACTGATCAGAGATCAGAGGCCCTCTGGCCACAGGTAGTTTAATTTGTTTAAGGTCTAATTAAAATCTTTTAATGGGACTGGGAGGTGGCTCAGTGGTAGAGTGCTCGCCTAGCACACGTGAAGCCCTGAGTTCAAACCTCAGCACCACATAAAAATGAAATAAAGATATTGTGTCCACCTACAACTAAAAAATAAATATATTTAAAAATAACTTTTAAAATCATCAAGTTTTGCATATAATCCCAGATTATTGGCTTCTCTTGAGAATCTCGGGCATTTGTTGATTGTGGATCCAAAGTCCTGCCTCCTGAGCCTCCTGCCTGGCCTCCATCTGTGACCCTGGGGAGTAGCTGCCTGTGGCAAAGGGCATGTGGTCTTCAGTGGTCACAGTCCCAGAATCAACCTTCCTTAGTTTTGTTGCCAGGGGCTCTGGAGACCTTGGAATTTGCCACTGCTCCTTTCTGTCATACCCAGAGAAGGTTAAAAAATATATGTGACATGTATATTTACTTCACGTACAGCCATCCCTTGATGTACCTGGGGGCTGGTTCCAAGACCCTCAAAGAAACCAAAATCTGTGGATGCTCAAGTACCCCGTGTCACGTCGTGTAGCATTTGTACATAACCTGTGCACATCCTTCTGTCCACTTCAAGTTCATCTCTAGATGGCTTATAACATCTAATATAACAGAAGTGAAATGTAAATAGTTGTTACTTTGTATTGTTTATGGAATAATGACCAAAAAAAGAGAGTAAAATCTGCACACATTTGGTAGAGTTGCAACCAATGCAGACTTGAGGACATTTTCCATGTGTGTTTGGTTGGCTGAATCCATGGACATGGAACTCATGGGTACAAAAGGTCAACTGTAATATTTATGAACATGTTGAAGAATAATACATTATGTAATATGCAATACAACTGATGCACATATGCAAGTATCTATGTTTGGGATGGTAGTAGCTTTTTGTTTAATCTGAAGACACAGGCATATTTCACTGATGTCCTTGAAGAACATAACTTGCTAGCCATAAGGAGAGGAGTTGTAAGTCACCTTGAGATCAGATATTCTCAGTCACCAGCAGAAGTAAACACGGGTAGCAAACAGGGCTAGCCACTCGGCACTCAGCCCCGGCCCTGGTTTTCATGTATGCTTCCTGAGCAGCTAGAAGGACATAAGTAAGACCACACCATTCTTATGAAAAGCCACTGCTAACTTCCTTCCTCTGAGCCCAGATCCGCCCCCCCACCCCACCCCACCCCGCCATTCTCCTTGCTCATTCTACAGGCTCCCTCATGCACTCACCAGCTCCAGCCACACCTGTCTCCTCCTGAGGCTTGCGCTCCTGCCTGCCACGCTTTCCCCTTGCATGTCCCTCTGCCATTGTCCCAGATCCTCCAATAACTGACCCATCCTCTGGTCATTTCCTGGCCATACTATCTAAGGCGACCTCCAAGCCATGAACACATAAGCCTGGTACAGCTCCTACATTTGCCCCTCTCTGAATTTACCTAATTTCTTTGCACGCTTGGCTACCAAACGCCTCACTCTGGACTGTATGGTCCATGAGAATAGCGGCCTTTGCATCCTGTTCACAACACTATCCTCAAGGCCCAGAAAATGCCTGGCACCTAATTACTGACTGCAAAGTAGACATGGCATGCACTCTCTTTAAGATGTATCACAGATCACCTGAGCTGGAGGGAAAATCTCCCTATCAGCAAGATCCCAGTTCCAAGTAAGCACTGGAGAGGGAGTAAGGTTATGCCTCTTTGGTCTCAGAGACTTCAGGTGACATGCAGAGAGAATTAACTCAGTGGTGAGTTTAGGCTGCACCCACTTATGCTTTAATAACCCTGCTGAGTGATATTGCTCTGATTTCCAAAACATTTGCTCAGTTTCTGTTCAATTTCAGAATCACAGTTGAGGGTATGAATAAGCATTCAAAAGGTGTTTGAGTAACTTCAAATGAGGACATGCATGTGGGCATGAGCATGCGCATGGCATTTCCAACTGCATGTGATGTTGGGGAAGAGAAATTGTATGACACTTTGGAATTTCTGAGAACCCAGTGGCTCATGAGCTCCGTGACAATGCAGTGTAAGGGTCAATTAAGATTCCTTGAAAATGTGGCCCTGTGGCCTGGGAGCTCTTATTTAGAAAAGTCCAGAGACAGGACTACTGGTCCTTGACCATTCTCAGACCCTGTGGTCAGAGCACCACAGCAAGTAGGATTTATAGATGAAAGAACCAAATCAAGCAATAAAGGCCATGCAGCAGGTTAGAAACACACTCCCAATTGCACGTACTACAGATACAGCAGAGAAAAACCCGGCAGTAGCGGTTACGCTGTCACCTACTGTAGCAAGATTGATCTGTAGTGAAATAAAAGATACCGCAATCCAGAGAAAATAACTTCTGTTTCCTCTGAGAACGTCTGATGCTGTCAACTGCAAGCCCGCACCCCTCTTCTGCCTGACATGGTGCACGGCAGTACAAGACGGGCAGGCGCTCCTCTGGGCAGACAGAGCACACATCTGCAAAGCAGCATCCCCCCCACCTGCCCAACTCCTTGGCCAAGCCAAAACAAGCAGGGCCCAGATGCCCAGGGCATGCTCAGGAGAACAGAGCTGCTCCAAGTTGCCGCTGTGTGGACGGACTCCAGAAAGCAACCCAGTGGCATCTGTTCATTTGAAGCCATGTCGTTTTCTGCTTGTTTATTTCTAGCACAATTCATAGACCCTGTGTTTCAGGTTAATGGCACAATTCAGCTTACAATTTCAGTCCCAGAAGATGCTATGGAGACACCAGCTTAGATCCTGTCTGTAATACACAGACTATTCTGTCTTGGTCTCCTTTGACTTTAACCAGTTGAACATCATAGGGGACGTTATTTTCCTTGGCAGAATGGCCAGCAACAAAGGTGAGGAGGAGTACCAGCTGGTGAGCTCTTGGCCATCATTTCTGAGAATGTGTCTCCCTATGAAATGGTCCTTCAAGGCCAGAGTCATGTAAATGATTCACAAAGGCAAGTTTAGTTCTCTCTATCTGAAATCCTGGTAATATCTTAGAAGGGAAGTGCCGCCCACCATCACACAGACAACGGGTAGCGGTTGGCTTCCGTCTCTGGCAGATGCTATTAAGTCTCAATAGCCAGTGATTTGTAGATGATTATAACTTTTGCTCTGCATATCATTGCAACTGACAGGCAAATCCCATCAATCGAATGGTATGACTGATGAATAAAGGAGGCAAACTTGACATAGGCAGCCTGATAAGTCATTTTTTATACCAATTACAACACCCGCGAACGCTCACCACGGTGTGCTGGGAAGTCAGATCTGATACAAAGCTTTTCTCGTCCCCTTCCCGGGGAGCCTCAGAACACATGTTCCAGAAGGACGCTCCCAACCCCAGCATTTTGTGGGTTGAAACAGCATTTTGTGTTTCAGGGAGAGAACTGTGATTCGGCGCTGGGTGGTGTTTGCATTCCAGTTCATAGAAAAAAAAGAAATTCTCCTCCCAGAGCGGCTCACTGAACCCCCAATTTGTCAAGGAGGAAAACTCTCTGCAGCAACAGGCCCTGACAGCGACGCTTTCATTACCTGAACAGTCACGGCACCTTTTCAATTTTGCTCGTCTCTTAGTCTCTAGCCAAATGGAACTTATTACTTATAGCTTGTTGGGATTTATGAATTATTTATAAAAGTAGGTCTATGACTCCAGACTCTTAAAAGACAACACAACAGAACCCTCGTTGTTACCCACAACTGTGCTTCCATCAGAGAGCAGATATTCTCTAGAACACGCGCTGCATGTTTGGGGTGAAACAACAGTTGTGAAAATATCAAGCCTGTAAGAGTATTGGGAAGCTATTTATGGAATGCCTCGATGTATTTTTAAACTAGACTCTTTTATTCTAAGCAAGCCTTGAGTTCCAGAAAGATGCAGCAGACGTGTGCTACAAATACGTCTCCCAGCTTGAATACAAACAGCGGAGCCCGGCTGCTTTTACCCAGTAGTTCAAGCTGGGATGAAAGGTAGTTCCTCCATAATGTGTGCCTACAAGGTTCCAGGAGGCCATGACCCAGGAGTTTCCTTCTGCGTCCAGAAGTACAGTGGCTGTGCATCCTAAGCGGGGACCAAACTATGACCAAGAAACATGGTGTGGAGTTAGGCTTTGGTTCCCAGCTCCCCTTAGAACACATGATCTTGACCGGTAAAACAGATGACACCGCACACCTGCACCAGACTCTGATTCAGTCAGAGGTTGTCAGGCATGCTGCACCAAAGGGCACCAAGTAGCCAGTCAGCCACGTTCTTGCCACACCTCCATAAGAGACATGTATGCTCAACAAAAACATCTCCGCCCACACTGGTAGGGGAAACCCTGACCAAGCAGCAGCTGGCTCTGACACAGGAGCCCTGGGAGACAGGATTCTTGCACCTGAGCGCCCCCCAGGGACATGGGAGCTTCACCATTTTCACCAGTCCTTCAGCATTCCTGCCCCCTGCTGGAGAGGCATGGACCCCTCCCCTTTCATCTCAACTGTCCAGTTCTCCTCCTCCCCCCAAGCATGGTTCAGAAGAATCAGCAGAGGCCAGACAGTAGAGGTCCAGGGAGGCCAATGGCACATCAGGCCACTGATCTCATAGCATTCCCTAAAGTTCATGTGACACGTCCACGGATAAGGTGAAGCCCCATAACCCAAAAAGCACAACCAATGGAAGAACAGCCAAGTGGCAATGAAACTTACCTTGCTGAAAAACATCTGTCAGCAGGAAGCAAAACAGGGGAAAGGGGGGGTAGGGAGAGAGAGAAGGAAAAATATTAGTGATGTTTAAAAAGGCAATATGCTAATCAGCAAACATGGACTCCTGCTAAGCACTCTTCTGTAGTCTTTCCTTTGGCTTAGGAGGCAGTAGTTAAGCGTCCAGGCTGGGGAAGGAGACTGCCTGAGTCTAATTCCTGGATCAACACCACAAGGTAGGTAGGAGTGTTGGAGAGAGCAGACATGTTATTTCACATGTCTTGAGGGTTTGGAAACATATCCAGCACACAGAAAAACTGGTGATTATCATTAACATTAATATGATTATTTTCACAAAATACAAACTTCTAATGTAAATTCCATTATCATTCTCATTTGATAGATAGGGAAACTGAGGCTTTAGAGCGTAAGGCCACAGACAACCAAGCGGAGCTCAGACTGAATCCAAGTCTGCCTGACTCCAAAACCAACTTCTCACCCTCTACAGTGCTACCTACATCATTTACAAATGACAACAAAGGCAACAAATGGCACATAAAAGAAAAAAAACGAGAATGGGCCTATGAATATGGTTCTGTATTTAAAACACATAAACAAAGCGGGTACGAATTCCCTCCAACATAACCCGTTACTAACAGCACTATGTCTACATTGTAAATACCAGGCCAAAGTATGTCAGAAAGGTGAAAAAATATTAATGTATTCTTTTAAACAAGTATGTGAGAGGTTAGTCCAAGCCAAGTACTTTGTCTGGCAGTTATAAACCACATCTAGCAAAAAATACCCACAAATATACTGTCACCAACATCTCCCTAAGGGTAACTGCTAGTAAGACTTCTAATACCATAAACACACTTGCCAATCTTTGAATTTTCTATAAATGGGCTGATAAAGCATGAACTTTCTCCGTATCTGGCCTCTTTGCTCAACATGATTATGAGAGTCATTCATTTCTACTGTATCACATAGTAGGTCATTCATTCTGTCATACAGAATTCTACTATGTGATTAAACTATAATTTATTTCTCCATTCTAATGTTGGTGGTTATTTGGATTATTTTAGTGTTTGGCAGTCAGGAATCATGACAAATGTTTTCTACACATTTTTTTGGTGAACATCTGAACATATACCAAGTACTTTTTAACATCTCCAATGTGAACTTGAGCTTTCCCTGGTTCTGTTGCCTCCCAATCAATCCAAAGGTACTCTTATCTGCTCATACTTTATCAATTTTTAGCTAAGAAGAAGACAGCTCTGGCAGGAACAATCACAGTGGCATGGACAGGAGACAGTTCCTGCTTTGCAGGTTGCAGTTCTACAAAGGTAAGAAAATGCCAGAAGATAGTTTGGCAATATAAATAGAAATGTTAAATATGCATTACCTTGACCCAATAATGCTACTTCTAGGACTTTAATCCAATTAAATAACTAAAGGTATAAAAGACATCTGTGAGGATATTTATCGTGGTATTGTACATAGCAAAATATTGGATATGATCAGTGTAGTTGTCAATGGAAAATCAAACCAAAAATAATTGTAGCCCATACAATGGATTATCATGCAGTCAATTAAATGGTAACCTAATAATTTTTAATGTTTTTGAATGAAAATAGCAGACAGCAAAATGAAACATACAACCCTGAGTCCATTTACGTACCTATGTACATGTGTAGGGCTACGTGAAGACAGATTTGTGATGATGATTTGTAATGATGTGATGATGGTCAAAGAAATGTTGTTTATCTTCAAGAGAGAATTTGAGGCCTTTTTGAATCTTATGTAAGATTTTATGTTATTTTAATTTTTTTAACAACAAATGTCAACAAACATGCCTTTTTTCTTTTTTCTTTTGGAACTTTACCACTGAGCTAAATCCCCAGTTCTCTTAATTTTTCATTTGAGACAAGGTCTTGGCTAAGTTCCTGAGGCTGGTCCCAAACTTACAATCCTCCTGTCTCAACCCCCTGAGTCACTGAGATTACAGGTATGTGCCACAGAGCCTGTACATTTATAATCTGAACTTAAAACTAAAGTTGTTTTTATTTTAAAAACTAAGTAAGAACTATATCATCATCATTTAATTTTGCCATTAGTCATCACCTGAAACATCAGCTCCCACAAGGTCACAAAGAGCCAAGCGCCCATGAGTTTGCCCATGAAGCACGCACCTGGTAAGTCAGCAAAGTTCAAGAAGGGAAGACCTGTGGCTGCAGGTCCTTCCACTTGAGCACACATGACCCCTATGAGGGTGTCATCAATACCCAGGATCTCAAGGAGTGGCTGTGGCATAGGTGAATGAGACTGAAAGCTCATAATTCCCAGGGAGTTCACCAGAACAACATGCTTTCTCTCACACTCAAGAAAGCCAGTTGGGACGTAAATGGGCCACATCAGTGCTGCTACAGGATAACCTTGACTCTGCTCTAAACTGTATAGCCAGCTCTTATATCAGTGGGTTCTGCATCCTCAGACTCACTCAACTGTGGATTAACCCAACTGTGGATCAAAAATATTCCCCCAAAAAAACTGCATCTTTAAACTGAACATGTAGACTTTTTTCTTGTAGCAATTCCCTAAGCAATACAGTATAACAACTATTTACACAGCACTTACATTGCATTAGGTATTATATGCAATCTAGAGATGATTTAAAGTACACAGGAAGATGTGCATAGGTTATATGTAAATGCTAGGCCATTTGATAGAAGAGACTTAGATATGCACAGGGGATCCTGGAACCAATTCCTCAGAAAGCAAGAGCTAATCATACATGCTACACAGCATTCTCTAGCCTCAGTAATTCATCATTAGTACAAATTCTGACCCAGCAGTGGGATGCCATTGCCCAGAGGCTGAGAATAGGAATGTTCAGCTCCCTAAATATACCAGTTTCACCTGTGATTGCTTTCTGGACCCCACAGTCTGAACCACCCACCCTCTGACCAGCCTGCACACCTGAACGAGCCCTCCCACTCAGCCTTTAAATGTCACAGCTATGGTGCAGTCTATCCCCACAGAGAGGGAATTCACTGTTTCCGCCTCTGTGCTCCTAGAGTAATTTGTGCATGTTGCAATTATAGCTCATATGATAATTAGTTATTTATGTAGACCATGAGTTCCTGAGGACAAGAGCAACCTGCTTTAATCACCTTCCTGGGTTCCAACTGCCTGACATCTACACTGCCACCCAGAAGGGAGGGAAAGAGGCCTGATCTATCTCAGCCCTCATCTGACCCAATCTCCTCATTTTTCAGATGAGGAAACGGAGTCCCAGATAAATGAGAAATTTTTCCCAAGGTCACACATGGAGTTAAAGGCTGAGCCAAGACTACATGAGATTCACTTAACCTTAATGAAGCACAAAAGCTCATCACTATTATTAGCAAAGTACAAATTAGAGATTTATCATTCCCCTCTAATGAATACAGACAAAAATTTCCAACCTTGAAAACATCAGTGAAAATAAGATTAGTGTCTTTCAAATACGGATCCAGTCTCGACATCTGTCCAGAATCCTCAAACCTCCTCTCCATGGCTTTTGACAAGGACCACTTCCCTCAAAATTCAGTACTGATTTGAATCACTGTAAAGTATCAGTGGGTAGGGAGGAGGGAAATTCAGGCAGGGATTTAGTGACCTTATTCCTTCCAATTCTATTGTATATTTCGCACTTTAGCAGACAAATTTGCATATAGTTCTATTCATACCGTCTATTCCAAAAACTCGCTTTTAATTTTGTATAAGCTACTTAGAATTTTTTTTAAAACCTCTTTTTCAGCCTTATTTACATGTTGCACCTCTTACTCAAATGGAAATTTTAATAAACTCTAGTATAAATGTTGCAACAATTTTGCACATGAGTTGTCTTATAATTTACACTCTAAATTTATGTCTTTTGTGGTCTGTGGTGTAAATTCCATTCTAGGCATCATTGTGGCTTTCTGCCATGTATAATAATGACTTCGGTGTTTCCTTTAAATTTTTACTTTTCCAGATTGAAACAGCTCTCTAGCATCAGGCTCCAATGATACACAGACAGGAGAATGGGAAATAAGAGAAAAAAAAGGTAGTTTCTGTGCTGTTTGGCTATATTTTACCCCACTCAGAAATTCTGGACATCAGAGGATATTTGCCATAGAAATAAATACTCATGCCATCCTCTATGCTGGCGTTCATGTCCACCTCCCAGTCTCTCAAACCATCAGAAGTAGTCACTTATAAAATCAAATGAGCTCGAATTTGAGTGGGTATTCCACTTTCAGTCTAACCCAACACAAGGAATTATTTAGGGGTTGATCAATGGACTTCCTCTGAGCTGGCATTTCCTTGTGGAGGACCATAGGCATATTCCAACTGCCACCCCATGAAGGTGTTGGGAAGGTTTGATTTATACCAACATTTTCCCATCTGCTGAGACACTCTGAGAATAAGTGCCATCTTTTCTGCCCTCCCAGGGATTGGGAATCACACAAGTACCGAGCTGAGAGTCGCCAGTGACCACTGTAGCCACAATCAGGTTGAGCCCAGAGGACGCCAGGGACACTAGTGCAGAGGAAATGATCTCCTTCAGACAAAGCTCTGCTCATACCCACTTCCCAAGGGAGGAAACCTCAGCCCCCATCATTCACGTGCACAAAGAAAGCCTGTTCCCCTGCCCCCACCCCCACCCCCTGGAGCCCTTCTGGCCCTAGAGATAGATGAAAGGCCATGTGTAAGTCAGCGATTCAGATGTGGGAAGAAGAAAACGGGAAAGAAGGAGCTCAGATTTGCCTTTCTTAGTCCCCATGCCTAATTTCTTCAGTTAGGAATGAACAGAAAGGACACTTGCCCCTCCCCCCACTGCTATTGAGAGGTTCACACCCTTAGAGATCTTTAATGCCCTGAGTCCTCCAGAGACAGGGGCCATAAAAAGACTAGATTATTTATTATTATTAATAAGTTATGGCAATTAGGCTCTGTGATGCTTAAACGTTGATGATTAAAAAATTTCTTGAGTG